TTGTCGTACAGAGAGGGTGCCTCAGGGAGGGGTATGTGTGGTGTGTGGATTCATATATTTTTGACACGATACCCTCACATTGAGGTACTTTACTTCTAAAGCCATGTACTGAAATGACAGGAATCATCATAGAAAGAAAAGAAACTGGATGTAGTTGAAAAATAAATATCTACATCTTAGAATCAAATGCATACAAGATTTGTCAAAAAATACACAAAGTTGATTCATATCCTAGTCCTATATCTTACAGTTATTATTCGACATTAGGGAAAAAACTTCTTCAAATTCTAAGCTCATGAGCCTTGCTATACATCGACTAATCATAGTAATCTTGGATAACTATTTGGGGATGCTTAGTAAAGCTGTCCTGTTTTGTAGAATGCATCCGTATACATTAGGTTTGAGATTTCATAATCCACATACATCCGTAGTATTACTTTCATAATTAGATATCACTTTCATAAATATTATAAGTTTAGTGTCACAGTCTGGTTATAGTTCGATCTTTTCTCATCATTACCATGAACAAACAATACAATAATGACCTGTGAGTGACTTTTATCACAGAGAATTGAAACAATTTTGTCCCTTTTGTTTGACTTCACAGTTCCAGAGTCATTTATCGAGCATGATGCACCACACCACTCCAATCCTGAGCCTCAACAGCACAATTATTACATCGTAATCGGCGTCTTAGCGGGGGCTCTCTCCGTCGCCATGAGTATAATCGCTATTTGTGTGTGCTGGTTACAAAAGGGTACTAATCCCAGGAAGATACAGCCAATATCAGGGGGCGATGATGACAGGTATGTACAAGAGAATTATGATTCTAGTTAAGGGAAATAACGATTGGTCGTTAAAGTTTCATTGTGTTTGAAATTTTGTTTAAATAAAGAATTTTATACAGTATGCATAATTGATTATCCAAAATTTGGTTTATAAAAGGGGATGTAAAGTTTGCTAAATATATATCTTGAATTTTATGCTTTGCAGCATATATTAAATCAGAGTCAGGTGTCATCATGATGGTGAAAATATAATATCAATATTAATGATAATTATAGACCTACCTGTTGCTACTACCTCTCTGCATATGATATGAAATAAGTTATTTTTAAAAATGTGTGCTTCTTTTTTGCACAAAAAAAGAAGGAAAAAAACACTTTGAGGTCTTCTTTAATGATCAATTATTGTTGAAAAAATGTTTTCATACTACAATATCCAGTAAACCAGTACAATAAATGTAAGCATTGACTAGAGTGCATAGTTTGAAGTTGATAAAAGCAAGCAAGCATTCCTCTTTTTCAATAACAGTTGATGTCATAGACAGTAAAGGAATGAAAATGAAATAAATGAGCTATTTTCATGAATATATATGTTTGTTTTCTGTGATTTAAAGTGTCTATTATGTTTTTATATTCTTTGCAGTTGTACTCTTTAAGCTTTATCATTAACAATGTCATCTGTATTTTATTTATCTCATGTGTCTTTCTTTCATTCCAGATTTCTGTACAACATTAGCAGCGTAACAAAACCACGTCCGTCTGTTCAAGCAATCTACGAGCTAACAACTCTAAACTATAATGCCCAGATAGATGAGCCTCTTATTTCACTCAAGCCCAAGTCAATATAACTTATTCTCATTCACTTCCTCAGCTGATTGTATTATAATGTACAAATCATTTATTGTGTGCTTGCCATTGTAACCATGTTTAGGTGATTCTAGGGGTGGATGAATATCACATTTTTTATACCGTTGTTACAATTGGTTTTTTTTATTCAGTTTTTTGATTATTTGTCCTGATTGATTCATGAACATTTGTGAAAGGATATCTAACTACTTTTGATTTTTGGGTTATATGATCATGAGGTATATGTATGTGATTATATTTAAATGTTTGGCCCCATGGTATTATGATGAATACATAAATAACTGTATTTGATTTAATGTTTGTTTATGAATTAGAGCCACCCTACACCAAACAATAAATAATTCCTGTAATGAACATTCCAGTTTTTATTAAACTCTGAATATTTTGTTTTTCGCCAAAATTACAGAGAGTAGAAATTTCCAACATTTTAGCTTCCCTTAACAATTTTTCACTGGTGCTTGTATGGATTAACACTATATCTACCTTCTGTTGTCATTTGTTGAATGTTACTCCTCAGTGTATGAATGTTTTTAAAGATGTTATAGACCAATCTGTATTTTGAACGGTTTTATTGCGACTACGTCAAGGGAAAGTTCTTTGGGACTAAGAAAGCAGTTGTAACTACCGTAGTATACCTTCTTTTATAAGATTCTCTGTTAAAATCAAAGTCTATGTAAGGTGGTCAATTTGATGAGTAATTGTGGATTTAATGAAGTGACTGCAAGGATGACCCTCATTTCATCAATCTTATAGTGTGAAAAGATTGCATTTTTGAAGAATAATGCAAAATTGTAGGCAACCAGCTATTCTTAATGTTTGAATCTAACTTAATCATTTCATTAAAACCTTGCCAAATCCATCATTGCATGTGCAAGAGGTATGTAACCAATTAAGTATAATCAGATGGTATAAACGCATCATATGGAGATTTGATAAGCTAACAAATCCCTGCAATTTGATGTATCAGTGTACAATGAATATGAGACCTTAAAGTACCGTCCATGGTTTCTATATTGACATGGTTATAGAGGATGCATGTCACTGAATGCCATGTAAGGATATTCCTATGAGTGAATGCAGAAATGTGGTTGTTTGACTTTGATGAAGAAGTAATAAAGCCCTTCAGCAACCGTCCAGCTTGGTATCAAAGCGCAAGGATGAAAAGAAAATTAGCTATCATAAATGTTCTAAGACTGCATGCTATTTGACCCATCTAATATGAAAAAATAGTCATCACATGTCCATCAAGTTTATTGTTTTTTAAAACTTGAAGGGCTTTTACTCCATTTTGTTGGCAAATCCCCTAAACTAACATCTTCTATTGTTCATGAAGGGCAATTTAGTCAACATAAATAGCTATATTACAAGTTGAACAATTTTAAAAAAAGTACATGCACTGACATAAAATGTCAGGAAAAAAAAATGATATGTATAATGACAAATTGTGTTGTGTTATAGGAATGACATGATGTGTTTTATAGTTCATTATTTGTTTTTTTAATTTTCATTCTTTTGTCATTATACTGAACTAGTATAAACTAGGAGTACCAATATTGCAAAGATTACATTGATATAAGTCCTGTACAATGTGTGCTTCTAATATAGAATATACATTGATATTCCATTTTGAAACAGCATTGCTTTGTATTATATAACTTGAAGTTTGATTCCATTACGTTCTTCAATGAACTGTGTGTGTACAGTTGTATTAAATGTGTTTATAGAGGCTTGTACAGTTTTTAAAAGAATACAAAATATTTCAGGACTTGTATATAATATATGAGAACATATAAATAATGAAGTATGAAAAAATAGTAGATCAGTAAATATCATGAAATACTTCTTACTTTTATTATTTTTTTAAACTAAATTCTATTTCTTTTGATGAAGCTAATCATGCCACACGTTTTCTTCTATTTAATATTTGCTTTATAAAGTTTTGATATTTTAATTTGTTAAATTTATTTAACACCGCACTTTGACAGTGCTATTCTTTCCTTGGGTATCTTTTATCAGAGGATATTTTCCACTACTTTTGAAAAACTTCAAATTACAATGTGAAACTAAAGCTCTGCTCAGAGGTAAGGCAGTAACAAAATTTTAAAGAATTACTATTCATCCAATTTTCTAAACTTCCCAAAACTTGCATTACCTTTAATTAGAAAAGGAAATGAAATTAATTGGCGTGAGCACATTCATCTTCCCTTGTAGACTGATTATCAATTGTTTTGAGGGGTGAGGGTATTTACCATTTTATTTTCTTATTGTAAGTTATCATTTTCATTACTGAAATACTGCTAAATGTATATTGATGTATAACTATCGTGTGTGTGCTTTACAATGTATCAGATTATGAATGAAATAGAATCCAACTTATTTATGTTCATAATATGTTTATTGTGACTCATCAAGTTATTTGTCTTTCAGATATGTATCGAAGAGAACCATCACCCTTCAATCGCTATTCACTCCAGCAGAGTAATAACTCTTTGCCAAATTCAATAAATTGCTTTGCTATCAATTCTTGAATCAGCCTTTGCTGAACTTATATATGATGTAATAGAGAAATTCTTTGGTACTTGGATCTTTGGAAATTTGGAGTAGATATATTTTCCCTGAAAAGATGACACACTTTAGATTTAGGGTGTTGGTTCTTCTATATAAAGTTCAGTAGTGTTTTGATTTTGTTCCATTTTTTGATTGTGCATGTCTGAGCTATGAATCTACTAAGTATAGTCTGTACAAAGATGTAAAGCTCCAATTTAGTGAGAATAAAAGATTGTAGTGTTTTTTTGCTATAAATGAGGTGTCCATGTTGTATGTGTTCCGTGGCAAGAGACAGTCATATTAGAGGGTGGAGTGAGTTAAAGGGGATATAGACAGGGCTTGTTCATGTATGCCTCAGCAAACCGCTGCAGTTTACTGTACCAAACATATTTTGTATCTTATATGTACAGATAAGCGAGTTCATGCAAGATGCTTGCGTTCATGCTTGTCATTCATTCAGTACCCCTAAAACACGTTGCGGTTTACCACAACAATAAGATAATCATAGAAGAGTGTAATAGGCTATTTTTGTAATGTAACCAAATTTAATACATAAGTCTTTGCAAAGTGCCTCAATACAAATTATTTCATTCACCTGATAAGAATAATAGTATTTCAATTGTCAAAATGCAAACTGCATATATTAAGTGTTGCTAGGTAGATAGGCCAAGCCATAATGTTTGTCCGGCCTGGCAACAACTAATGTATTCAGTTCAGATTCTGTCTATTGAAATACTATTCATCCTTTGACAACAAACATGGACAATCACACATTATACATAATTGATGACGCAGAGATGATTGTTTGACAGAGCACAAAGTCCTTTATTGAATACTTCTGTGCATTTATATACTCACATACGAGCAATATACAAAAGGAAACACACGTCCATCAGTCTTCCAAACTACAAATACATATATCATCATCATCCAGTAAAGATTACCTACCATTTGCACATTTTAACATAACTTGCTTATACACCTTTATATTCAATAGCAAAGAAAAGTCATATAGTAGACAAGGAAAAGTTTTCATAATTACACATTTCACAATAAGTTCTGTTTCTTCAAATCCAAGTTACTTGCCATTCTGCTCTCAATAAGTTTGCCAATCAATTGAAAATAAAAAGTGAGAAAACAAAGTTCATGCATTTGCATGATCTACTGACTTGCACTATGACACAGTCTCCACTTAGGTTCTTGAAAGATGACCCTTCTGGTAAAGTCATAAATGCAAAGTAGCATGCACATAAGAAATTATCTGACACAATATCAAAAGCAAGTAAAACTTGTCCAAAATCTACATAAATCACATATCACATATCACGAGCATCGATTCTAGGAGCAATGTGCTCCTTCTTCAGGGATCGCAAGTAAACTGGTGAAACTAGTAATGGACCATATACCATCATAGACTAATATATAACTTTTATGATAATAAATAATTTCTTATAATGAGTGAGTAAGGACACTTGATTCACTTGTTTCATTTGCGTGGGGATTTTCAGACAGGCTCACTTTTAGTGACAGATTTAATTTCAAAGCTATTACATTCCATGTCTCCCTCCTGTAGGATAGATAGTCAGAAGTAAAAGACCTAGGAGACAGAAACTACAATGTTCAAATGCAAAAACAGATTTTCCTACACAGCCTTTGAATGCAAGCAAGCAGATGTTCAGAAATCAAAATGTAATATTTCAGACAAGAGAGAGAAAAGAAAGAGAGTGATACATTTGTGGAAATATTGTTAATTTGAAACATAATCCAAATATTCAATCATATCTGTAGTTCCTTTTTATGTGTTTCTGCAAACCAACAAAACTTTGCCAAAGTAAATCTCTTATGATGTACATAAAATACTACAATAACATCCTTGCTTAAAGTGGGTGCAAAAAAAGTATAAATTGAAAAAGAAAAAAAAAATTGTAAGCTAAGTATTTATGTAATACCGATCTGGCTTGCACAGAGAAAAGTAGTGACAAAAAAAATAGATGAGACAAATTATCATCCTGATTTGAATCACAAAGTATTAACTCATGTTTCACTAGGATACTTTATCTAAATCAATATGAAACAATAAATATCACATGAGCATTGGCATTTAAACACAGCCTCTTGCAATCGTGAACTAATAAAGGCTTTCATATTGACATTCTAATATGTCATGTGACAAGTCTTTCCTCAACTTTGTGAGTAGTCCAAAACACAGCAGAGAGCTTAGTTTAAGAATTAAACCTTGTAATTCAAACAAAATATTAATATAAGATGAAGTAAGAGCCTTTTAAAATTCAATATTGGAAGGAAAAAATGAAAAAAAACCACTTCCTATCAAAATGATGGTGCTAAAAAGTGACTTGTCCAACTTTCTTATGGTGGCTCTTATGAACAAATGTTTGAGAAAATGCTATTTACCCCTGAAAAAAAGGGGTGCAAAGATGTCAAATTATCTATCCATAATCCTTAAATTGTCCAATTGACAAAAACAAATAGTATCAAAGAGAGCAAAAATAACTAGAACTTCAAAAAAATAAAAGCTGATTTTAAAAGGAGAGCTAAGTTTGGAAGTTATCACTAATCCACAATGAACAAGATTTAAAAAAAAAAAGCTACTCAAAATTTCAAATGCTGATTCATAAATAAGAAAAAATTGAGATAATCATAATAAGAACTATGGTGCAAAATGAATCTAAATCAAATATGGTGCAATTATTCTACCTTAAATATTTCTTGACTAGAGTAAAATAATCTTCATATTTCTATAACTGAATGGAAGTCAGAAGTGTTAATAAATCTTTGTCTTTGGTTATAGATTTAATTTGCAACAGTGCTCTTGCAGTAAGCAAACACAGAACGCAATGCCAGAGAAGCAGAGAAGCTGTTTGCATTTCCTTTATGGGCAGGAAGAAAGCATTACATCATTTGTCTTTAAAACCTTCTGAATCTGAACATCTGAAGTAATGAGGTAAAATCAATGTCATCAAGTACAAAATATAAAGTTTTTGTGCAACAACTCCAAAAAATAGAGCTTGTTATATCACATGTCATAACCATGATGTGCTTACATGTATACAACACTACAGAGGTACGGAAAACCATTTCAATTCTTCTTCACACCAAAGGTATATTGTTTCTTTTCAAAAATATAGCGCGATAGTCGTCAATGAGAGACAAAGATTGCAGATATAGTGGTTTGTTACAGTAGTCAATAACCTACTGCACAATGTGTTGTTTAGTTGCCATCACTGCATATAACCAATTGATCATAATTAATTATTACTCTCTCAAATTCTTAATCCATATAACAACAACCACAACACTAAGAATAGAAGACGAGCCCACAACCAGATCATATAGAGATGAGAACTCTAGGATTTCTTCTAATAATAGAATCAAATTTAACTTAGAGCTTCCTAATTTATTGAGCTGAAGTTTTTAGCCACTAAAACCATTATATTGGAGCCTCCTTTTTTGTTTAAAAAAAACCCTCTAAAAATCACCCATAATCTGCAGTATCTTGAAAATACAGCAAACTCTATCACTCCACAGAAAATGAGATAATAAGATTTATGTTGAGATAATTGCAGTTTCTGTCTTTCTTTCCTCGTATCAATAAATAATCTGTCTCCACTATTCAGAGTTCTTTTTCAATTCTTCCAGTCTTGAGAAGCAGAGGTTTAATTCAGGTGTTTACCTCCTTTCATGAGAAGTCTCCTATAGTCTAGTTGCCCCTCCTAGAATCTTCAGGGTTTCCTTAAAATCAATCATCGATCTACGATACCAAAAGAGTCTGCAAGAGCATGACTCTCAAGGAATATATAAATTAAGCCTAGGTCAATTCACAATCCAGCTAATATTTCAAGAGTCTTTGAGATGGTGGTGGAGGTGGGGTTAATTAAGATGGAATCCTTTCTCCTTGGTAGCGCTGAGCAGCCTCTCTCTCATGGTGTCCTCGTTGGAGTACTCTGGCAGCTTGAGATAGTGGACACAGGTATTGACCGATGGGTAGGTATGGTCATTAGCGTCCACCTTGCGGACGATGGTCAGACGAGGGTGAAGGTTAGCCAGACCACCGGGGGGTAAAGAGGAGCAGCCGGTGGTAAATTGAAGGAAGGACTTGCGCTCATCACCATTCATTGCACTCAGGACATTGACAAAGCGTTGGAAGCCAGGACTGTTTACAGGTAGACAAGAAATAAAACAGGAATGTGTATAAGAAATTGGATTACAAATGATTAAAATGATTAAGATGATTTGATAACAAAGAATGTCATGAACAAAATATGGAAATATACATGTTCATTATATCTTTTAATTTGGTCAATGTTCATTGACATTGTTCATCTCAAAATTGAAATCTTCACTAGATTTCAACATTTTTGCCTGTCACATAAATTATACATTGAACAAAAAGTTAGAATTACAACTCCAAACATTTTGAAGATAAATATTCATAGATCCATATTCCTATAAGTAAGAGTTGGTAATGACAAGAGAGAATGACAAAACTAGCAGACAAAGAGGAGAGGGGGCGGCATCCACGAGGGTAAAGTGTGCCTACCTTTCTCTGGTATAGCCTAGTTTAGGTTCAGTATAGTTGAGGATATCATCCCTAGTCCATGATGGAGCCTGGTCTCCAGATAGGATAGTCTGGAACTCAGCTGGACTAAAACTATGAAGCTTCTCTATGGGGAACACTTGATTGAAGCCATCTGTAATAGAGCAAATCATACAGGAAATAAATACATACATGTAGATATTATCATGAATTATGACTTTCATCAACCGTTACTTACAAAATCAAAGAAAAAAAAGAACTGCATAACCTGGACTGAATTGAATTTGCTGGGTTTATACGGATGGTAATCTTTCTAAATAAAATTTTGTTCATCAAACTAAATTATATTTATACTACATTTATGTCAAAGGTGAAATACATAGTGCTGCCTATAGAAAAATAAAAGTATGACACTGATACTTCCATCATATCGAAGAATATTTCTATAGCCTACCTAATACAAGAGATTAAAAGATAGAAGAAAATAGTAACAAGAAATTATAAATAGAGAATTTCCTTGAAATATTCAATACTTTAAGGAGTGAGTTTAGTCCTAGAGTGTGTACGTTCATATTCAACATCGACTAATAAGTGAACAAATGGGAAGAATGGTGAGTTAACCCACCTCTGAAAGCCTCCATCTGTCTCCTGATACCAGTATGAAGACAGAAATCAGTTACCAGCTCGATGTACTCCTCAGCATTGTCTAGACTCACACACTCATCATCACCGTTGGGTTTCAGGTTGAAGCTATGGTAACCATAAACTTTGGAGGACGGGTTGAACTGGAATGTCAACCTAAGAAATCAGAACAAAAATAGACCAATTACTTAAACATTAAAGATTCCAGACAATTTAGTGCATAGTAACAACCTACAACAATAGGATATATATATCTACAATAGAATGAATAAGTTTTTACACAAAATATCTGTTATCGATTTGGAAATAGTTGGATCTGTGCATGCATACAAAAAATGATTAATATACATGCATTTCAGGAGGTAGAAGTTGAATTCTTTAGAAAAAGTTTTATCATAATTTAACATTGATTGTGAGTTAAATGTAGTGTGGTTTTCAAGTCAATCACAAACTCTGTATTGAAAGATGGTCAATAAATGGTTCTTCCCACTTCTTGTTACCACTTGATTCTTTCTTTCTTTATAATAATATTAACAGCATTTATATCATGCACATATAAATCCCAAGGCAGTACTATTACCCTAGCTTTAACCCTGCTAAAAAGCATTCGAGGAATAAGTTCCTACCAGGTACCCATTTACTACACCTGAGTGGAGAGCAACAAATGTAGATTAATGTCTTGCCAAAGGACATGAGTGCCATGGTGGGACTCGCACTGCAAACCATATGATCTACAGACAAGTGATGTATCCACTACACCATTACACCTCGACTTCCAAGTACACAGTTTTCATACATTAGAATCTTTTTTAGATTCTTACCATGAGAGATAGAGAAAAGAAAAGATACATACCCTAGATCCTCAAGCCTAACAGGTACCCCTGATCCAGGTGAAGTCTCAAGACAGAGGTTCTGAATCTCATTGTTCCTCTCCTCCTCTGTCTTACTTCCATCCAGCTGGATCTGTCTCTTACGATCCACCATCTCTTGAAGATGCTGAAGGAATCTTGCACGATGAGGGTCAATCAACTCAAAGTCAGACCAGGTCAAGACACCTGCAAACCAGGCTGGGGTACATGGTTTGGGTGGGTCTGCTGCTAGGATGAGCTCCTTGGACTCGTTACCGCTGTCGATGGCCAGATCAGAGATGAGCTCACTCATGCTCTCCAGTGAGGCCTCCGTCTGCTGCATCTCAGCGAAGAAGACCTCCGAGTCTCGTGGTGAGGTGTAGGATTCATGCGTAGAGGTGTAGTAGAGGTGGGTACTACCTGTCTCACCCATGCACATGAGTTTGAGGAAGGGTCTTGAGAGGGGGATGTCTACCATGCGATTGTCCTGGAGGCACTTTGCCAGGAAGGTACCAAGGAAGTTGTAGAGTTGCTCAATGCGAGAGATCTCTTCACTGTCTTGGATGATGGGAGCAGGGAAGAGACCTGAGGCTTTCTGGATGTAGTAACCAGGGGGCTTCTCACCTTCACCAAGATCAACCTGCAAGCACACGCCACAAATTAGTGAGTAAACAATGTCACCTGAACTTGTGGAAAAGAAATATGAAATACATTGCTAAGTTCAATAAGCTAAAATTGATTACAATCATGTATTCAATTAATATTCGAACCCTAAGTTCAGAGGAAAAAGATGAATGCCCCCATAATCAAAGCATTTTAGAACTCTGTTTGGGATGAGGTTCTGATAAGTAAAGGAAAAAGAATTCTGTATTAAACTGGTGATGAGCTTTACATCCGTATCATTGATGACTAATAGCACTGACTATTTAAAAACACAAACTACACAAATTGAGGTTAGTAAAATATGCAATAAAGGTTTGATTCACATCAATGACCCAGCAGAAAACTCTATACCCACCTTTCTTGACAGGTCATCTGCTATTTCATCATCAGTCAACCACATTCCTAGACTCTTACGCTGGAGCTCAGCTGCTATCAGAGCATAGAACTCTAGAGTAGGACCAAGACCTGTTCCTTCCTCTCCAAGGAACTCAACCTGATTGAAACAAAGTATGAGTTGATGAATAGAATGTATGTTTCATTATGGGGAGGACAGAGACCAGTACCACTTCAACATGGCAAGTCGATTGAATTCTAGGATTTTTCCAACACACAAATGGTATGCAAATGAGCCCCTGGACAATTATGTGGGAAATATTATTTTTTAAATTCTTAAATCATATATTTATACAGACACTATTCACAAATATGCGAGCGTTGAGGGGAAAAAAGGTTCATCTTTGCTACTTTCAATCATTAGATTTGTTGATTCACACCCTAGCCTGTCTGCTTAGGTTCTTGGATACTTCATTCAATTTTCATTTGCATATCTCAATCTAGGGTGCAGTAAATTCTTACTTTGTAGGAACAGATCCATGAATATTCCAAGAAATCTAGGCAGTAGCTTGATGAAAGCACTTGTAATAACAATAACAGATACTTTACACCCCTTTGAAAGATACCCAAGTCAAATGAGCATCATTATCTTATCATGGAAGAATTTCTCACCTCTAGTATAGACTTCTTTGCACAATGAAGTCTCATCACATTGATGGCCCATTCAACTAACTGCTCTCCTCTCGGTACTTTGACCCTTTCATGTTTGAGACGTCCAACCTGGAACTCATGATGGTCATCTCGTCTAGTGCTAGGAGTCCTCACACGTTCAGTGTTGGCCTCACGTTTCCCCTGCAGCCACGCTATGGCTCTGTATGGAAACACATTTGCCACATTATGTATTGGATAATTGTGATAAGTCAAACTTAACATTTGGAGGGAAAACAATCATTCTGCAGTACCGTTGGATTCCTCCCTCCCTCAAATTCTGGAACGTATAATATATAATCCATATAATCCATACTCCTCATGTACTATCCAAGTTTTGAACAAACTTTATAAATACTCATTTCAGATATGTTTGCTTTTGATTATATGATATTATCTTAAATCTATGAATGATCAAACATCACAACTAGAGTACCCTTTTTACATTTTAGGGGAAAAAAATGTAGATAAGACATCTGCTTGGAATACATGCACATTGCATGACGGCTTCAAAATGTAATATTTACTATAACTCTCATAAAAACAAGACTGTAAGACAAGTGCAGAGAATATTTAAAATATTTGTATTGATATAAATGGGTTTATATCAAAGTTTGATATAAATGCATTTATATCAAACTTCAAATAGACTTTGAAATTAATTCACTAACCTTGATACACCAAATGCAGTACATGTGAAGTAGAGTTGCCTGGTCTCAAATGGGAAGAGCATTGGACATCTATTAGTCAGTCTCTCACACCACTTAGGCAGAGATAAGCTTGCAAGAACCAGAGGATCCTAAGAGGCAAAAAATAGTGAATCATTAGTTAGAGAGTTCAGTCCATCAAGTCAAGTATTTACCCCTGAAGTACCCATTTTACTTTAACTCACATCAAGGCCTCATTTCACACAATTTGGTATTACTGACAAATGACAGTTTTGATTAGTGAAATCCTTGCTTCTGATAGGTTATCAGCAGATTTGTCACTGATCTTTGTCATTTGTCATTGATAAAAGGCTTTGTGAAACGGGTCCAAGAAGTTTACTGTGTGCCAATCAAAATAATCCCTATACCTTGGTCCATAGGTAGTTCAAATAAAAAAGGAAATATTCTTTCAACTTTATCTCTTTATTAGATATAATTTTTGTCCTAAATGGACAAATCATGGACATCATCTTGAGTTTACTTGATGTCTTAAATGTTTATGGATACCATGTGCTAATTTCGGGGTTGGTAATCAAAAAGTGTCTACAGAAATTTATAACAGCTATGAGAAGAAATTACCTGCACTTGCTGAGCTAGCTTGTTAGTGATCTTTTTACTGTAGAACTCTTCAGGTGGTACATTGAAGCGATGACCATCTGGATCTGTAAGAAATCAGAAAAGAAATATGCTCAGTCTTTGAACAGTGTACATTTGGTTCACCTGAAGTAGCACACCACAATCAACCAAGGATAGCAATTTTGTTTCATTATCGTTAAGATTTATGCATTCAGCACCATATAAGATGCTTTACTCTTCTCACATCAACAGCATTAGCTGAACTTACTTGTAAATCAATATATCTATATCAATGATATTCAGTCTCTCTATTATGATATCTTACTTCTGACAGTTTGGGTATCAAAGTAATGGAATTGCAAATGTGAAGTTCAACAGTGCTCTTGAAAGGGAAGTGACTGAAAAAGGAGCAGTCATGTTCATACACAATGTTTGAAACAGTTTTAGCCCGTACAAGAGCACTTACCTGTGGACCCAACATCTGTAGCAATGGCATAGAGAATCCTGAGGAGCTGTAAGACATCATCTACACTGCAAGCACCAGTCTCCTTACCCCCAGCATTCAGACTACCACCATCACTCTCACTCAGTACATGCCCAGAGTCCTGGCTTAGGCGCTGTTGGCTAGATGGTCTGGCTAGACCAAGCTGGATGAATTCCTGTTTATAAATCAAGGGACAAATTTCATAGTATTGTGAATTCTTGTTCTAGAAGTACAACACTAATTGGAAACTTTAAACCATCAAGGATAGTGCCTGAGATATCTAAGGATGGGGTTTATCGAAAATGTGTGTTATAATGAAATCAAACTGTATCCAATGGCTCAACAGTTTTATGAAAATCTATCTGTTACAAGACTAAAGGTGCATGGTTCTCTGCCTATATTCATGAGTGTAAACACTGGCATCAGAAAAGTAGATTTATAATAAAAATTGACATTATCTGAACACACTTCACGATCCTTCAACTTTCATATACACAATCATGTCACACATCTAACATTTTCATTTTTAGGAGATGTGCTCTTTGAGACAAACAGGCTGAATTCAATCAAACTACTTAATGTAGTTACATTCTTCAAGAAGGTGGAGAATGGACTAACCCTGTATGCAGCGATTAGTCTAGATGAGTTCCTGGTCCTGCGTATATTAGTAGCATTACTAGTCAGCTTCCATCTCCTAAGGAACTGAGCATCTGCCTTCTCCTGTAGGTACATGATAAGCTCTGTCTTAGGTAGTCTCTCGGTGCCTAGATGTCTCTGTACAAAGCCTACAGTCCATGGTCCCTGAAGGGTGATGACAAGAGGAGATACAACATTGAGCAAAACACAAGGACAAGGTTTGAAATACTACACAAGGCCTTTCCTTTGCATTATCCTTAACTAAACCAAGAAAAAGACAACTCTAGGCTTTATTGTACCCATCAACAACAATTTTTTTTTTTAAAGTTACGTTTACAACATGTCAAGTTGTTTTGATGCTTACCTCTGTGTTTTCTACACTTGAAGTGCTCTCATCCTGGGGTCGTGATTCCCTGTATACAACTCTGTCAAACAAAAATTATAAAAACAATGTAAAAGAGATTCATACATTTTCTACAAATTGATTAGACAGCTGTTAGACACATTTTACATGAATGGAACATGTACATTATTATTCCATAAATACATTAGTTGGTGAGCATGAAAATTTAGACCAAATGCTCCCAAATAAATGCATGTAAAAAATAAATAATGGATCAAAAGTCACTGAACAACTTATCAATTTCTACCCATGTTAAATAGAAGGGTAAAAAATCTTTAAAAAAATTTAAACAAAATATTAATTTCCACTTTATTCTTATTAGCCTATTATCAATTGTAAGTGTTTATTATTGGTAGGCTTCATACCAAAGAACCAAGGAATGTTCTCTTTATTAATTCAAGACACAATGTCTGGCTGTTTTCTAATGAAAATGTGAAAATGCAGTGAGTGATTCTTACGTGTATGTGGGCTCCCATATCCTGCGTAACCTATCATGTTTGGTGCCAGTAGGTGTCTGCTGGTACAGCATCTGAACGTATCTGAAGATGGTGGATCGTAGATCCTCACAGTATACCTCGGTCTCCTGTACCTAAATACACAACAACCATCAACAAGAAAATTCATTAGATGATATCATCATCGAGCTCACTAACACCAATAAATTGAAGGATTTTTCTTGTGTTAAATGCAATGATTAGCAATGATTGCACAAATAATTATATGCTCTTTTAAAAATTACATGTAACATTTAATCATACTTTGTGAAAAACTTTTGTTGATTACTGTGCACGATCAATAAACCATATAAATTAGCACGAAAGCAGATGTTTCATAGATGACAAAGAATATTAGAACCATGCATATAGATCCATATAGTAAGAGGAGTATATACTTCATAGGAGATGAAAGACTTACCCCTTGTAGTCCAGGTCCTCTTAAGAAGAGTCCTAGTCTTGGTGTCGGAGTGCTATCAGTCTCATCTCTAAATGATGTATCGGGTGTACCTGTACAACATACAATTAATAAACATAGATTGGAAATGATACACATCATCTAATGGACTCCCTTCCAAATTAAACAATGTGAACAGAGCTAATTGATAGTCACTGATTAAATGAAGAAATTAACACAAATGAAGACTGAAATAAGAAATCAAGTTTGTGATGTAGGTTACATTGTATGTAAACCAATATTCACAAAGAAAGATTGGGAAAGATGAAGGCATAAAAAAAAGTTGTGATGAAACATAGAAGAAATTAAATGCAACATCCCTTTTTTTCTTCTTGTACTAACTGTGCTAGTGTGAACAATAACCACTTTAGGTATTGACAGATAATTGTTGACAGCTGATCTTGTGAGCAGTCCCAGTACAGAGAGTTCAAAATACGCCAATCAAATTCATTTGCTGCTGCTGCTGCTCGGATGATGTCATAATGGTTTTAATGATTGGTTGAAGTCAACATGTGTTTGATTTTTGACATTGATCCTAATTCAAGTTTTAATACCAGAGGCTCTTAAACCCATATTTGGCTTACCTGGTGGAGGTATCTCAAGGTCTGTAGTCTGCTGGACATTGGTCCTGCCAGGTCTAGGATCAAAGGCTGGTACCAGAGCAGAGAACTGTCTCTTCAATACATGTTCATCATCCCATGTCTTACGTCTCACACCTCGGCTATCATAGTCCTCTTCCTCCTACACATTCAGATATCAAACAAAACAATACATATACTAATTAAATCCTCTTTAATTGTTATGCTCCACAAATGCATGTAGGAATGTTGGTCTGCACCTAAGAGTCATTTACAAGATCAATGGTGTAATATAAATGCTACATCGTGTAGTATGCTTACACACAAAAACATACCCAAATGCCAATAAAATTTCCACGCAAACAAAATGGTCTAAAACCTTTTACAAGTAAATGGATTTTCTTTTTCAACTGAACTGCTTTGATTCAACACCACCCCTTTGATAGTTCACTGCTCTATTTCTGTTGACATATAATGAAATTCCTTGTTTTGTGTGTGTCTTTTAGTGTACTTTTCCAAAATTGCAAGTGGGGTATCAATATGTCATGGTGAATAAAAGGAAAATGCATTCATAAGCAGTGTGCAAAAGAGGAACCGTGATTAGATCACCATACTATGTAAGACAAGCTCTTACCGTTCCATCATCATAGTCCTCTCCGTCACTATCATCCTCATTCTCATCATCGAGATCCTCCGGCTCTGGGAACTCCTCATCCTCCAGCTCGGCCATGAGTGAGCTGGTAGGACAGGGCTCTAAGAACTCATTATCACTCTCACTAGAGGTGGATGTGAGGGAGGTAGCCAGGGCTGAGCTTAGGGTACTCGTCAGGACAGTGCTGGCTGATGTAGGCATGGAGGTGGTGGTGGCACCAGGCAAGTTAGGAGCACTCTGGGCGCTGCTCAGGTAGTTGTCTACAATGGCAAATGAAGTGATAATGTACATATATGAGCTTGTATTACATATGTATTGGAAGCTGGAAAACATTCATGTGAAAATCTGTATAAAACAAATAAACAGTGTAAAGCCATCTGCATAGGGGAGAATGAGTAAATCCATGTTTGATGTAAAGTTGCATTTTTGGTCTTTGGACTTTTTGACAAGTCTTGAATAAAACCTCATTTGCATTGAATTGAATTGAATTGAATTGAATTGAAACTACAAAGAGAGAGAGGATGACCAAGACTCCAGAACTATTATACATTCACTCTTAGAAATATATGCTTTATTAATTGGCTTGGATGCAATAAGATGACATAATCTTTAATGACAGAAAGTAAATGAGTAAAAATGCAACAATGCAAACGCTTACTCTTGAAACAATAAGACTCAAACTTGAAGTTAAGGGAAGCCTTCATTAAGAATCCCAGGGACAAATACGTTGCATTTACATTAACAACAGCAACATTAGCAGCAGTGGAACTGCTTTTACTTACTGCTAGGCAGGCCAGATGAGGAGTAAGGGAACCTGACAAAGCTGGAAGTAAAGGTGTTGGTCCGGTTTGAGAGGGTACTGTTACCGCTGCCTACACTACCCCTGCTCTGTCTCATCAGAGATGGGAAGGTATCTGCTAGACTGGACACTACATCCTGGTTACTGCTTAGGTTGGGTACACTAACACTCATACTGCTGGTGGTAGGGGGCAGCACAGGGGTGGAGCCGGTACCTGAGGTAAAGTATTATTACATGAAGAACCCAGGACAGGTGCATTGAATGACAAGACCTATACAACTACACAACATACAATACATAAGGAAGAGCGATTGAGATCTTTGAAATAAATAATAATTGTCCCAAACCTTACTTATAAACTGATTATTTGAGTGTTCTGATACATTTATATGTAGCAGCTTTCCATTCACAAGACCAATTATTAGGTATCAACTTCTTTATTATTTAGTTCAGATTTGTTATCAATTAAATGCAGAGCTGCATGTTACTTACGATATCTGAAACAGCTTTAAAGTGGGTATTCCATGACAACAACAAAAATTTGGTAGTACTTCATTTGGCAGTAACAACATATAATGGAAATAAGAGTTGAATACCAATACTCCTTATCATGAACATGAAATTAAAAGTGCATGTTGCTGAATAAACTTTTTTCATGTCAGCATATAATATTACCTGCTGTAGGAGGGGGCAGCTCTATGGCCTCAGAAAGAGCCTTCTCTGAGTCTGTAGCCAATCTCTTATTCCTTCCTCCGCTCAACACCGCGCTGACAGCACCATCGACCACTGCTTCTGTCTCTGCCAGCACTGCTTCCAGACCGGATCGCATCAGCTGATTCTCCATCACAACGGCTGCTGATGCTAGACTGGGAGCTGAGAGATCGGAAGTGGAGGCGTGATCTTTATCTGTGTGTTTGGTTGGTCCAGGACAAGCAGGGCAGACGGACAGACAGACAGAAAGACAGACATACACCATAGACAAAGGAATAGGCCGAGTGCAGGAGGAGGAATAGGAGGTAGAGGAAACACACACATAACAAAATGCAACAGATCATTGTGCACATAGACAGGCAAACAAAAAATAAATCAATCAAATAGGATACAAATAGAAAAGACAAAGCAGTCCTCATTCAAGTATTAGCTTCTCCTATAAGGTACAATCATTTCATTGCTACAATATCCTTTTGTATAATTATTTATGAGATGATCATATATATCACTTGATCATATCTTATACAGTCTATTATAAGACTGATAATTTGTATTTCTCTGATTGTATTTTTGTTTTGTATATGTACATTCATTTGCCTTGCAATGTTGACATAACGAGAAGAAGCGAATTTGCTTGAAAGGAACTCGTTCAAAATATATTGATGTATTACGGAGAGTAGCAAAAGATAAAAGCTAGAAGAAGAAAAGGCAAGCTAATTACTTTAATTTCCTTTAATGGATAATTTGGTCATCTGGTAAGCCATAAGCTGTATGGTCACCCTGTTCACATCTTAACATTAGAAAATTAATCAAGAAACCTAATACAACAATTTCACTGCAAACTAAAAAAAAAGCATTACCAAACAAAAGTTAACTCACAGCAATACATATACAACAAAACTATCACATAATAACCAAATACCAATGGTTTTATACCCCCCCCCCCCCCAAGACCAATCGCTACTACTGCCTAAGTGTTCAAAGGCACTATTTAAAAAAAAAATTAGATTACATGCTGTACCACTGAGAACAAAAAAAAATTCAAACTAAAAATAAAAAAAGAGTACACAAAAAATAGGGGGGCAAAAGTGTGCTGCATACTAGATCACATACAATACAATACACTATACAAATTACAGACAAAATATAATTCAAAATGATGTGGAAATATTTCCTGAGACTGAATACATTTCTCATTAGATAACCAGGTAAAGAGCATCATATTACTATTAAACACATTTTATGTAGTGCCTTTTACATTTTCATTTTGATAAGTCCACTATACTTATAACATTTTAAAAAGCAAATGATGAAAGCAAGAGGACACCAAAGGGTCTCTATTATAAGAAATATGATGATGTTTTGATGTTTAGATGAATGATGAGGATGTTATACCTTTACAAGCAGTGCCAGCATCTGGTCCCTCTCCTGCACTGAGGCTAGGTGTGGAGTTGCTCTTATTCCGACCCAGGATAGGTCCTGTAGCTCCTGGTGTGGATCCAGGTATGGAGCTTGTGACAGAGGGGCTCCTGGTACCTGGGATGGTGACCGTCTTCATGCGGGGGAGAGGAGGGGGCTCTCTGGAGGGGAGGGGCTCGTTCTGTGCAGCTGCTTTCAACACTGCAGCTACCAATGCTAAATCAAGACAAATTCAGAAATGGAATGTTAAAATTGTTAAGTACTGGTTAATAAACATGAAAAGAGTTGTATGTGGTAAGACAATGTCTCATGTGTGTCTGTTGAAGAACCTTCTAGTTTTTCTCAACAGTCATTCAACAAAAAGGTTTCCTGAACACTTATGTCACAGGAAAATGTGACATACCATGTGTATCTGTTGAGTTTACAGCCATGTAAATTTTGCAAAAACAACATAAACCTATCGGGCATAAAATATCATGAATGATACATAAAACTTTACTCTAGACTATACATGCTTGCAGTTCGACTCAGAACACCTTCACCATTGGTATGCAAATGATGCACACTTCAATACAAGATGTCTCTCTTATCATCAAAGATAACTTGGCAAAAGACAACAAGTAAAATTATATTTCAACATGCTTTGGCGAGGAAATTCAGAGCCAATTTCACACCCTGCCTAAAGTAACTGATGGTATTGTTACTTACATTCTCTCTCACTAGAGGCCAGACCCTCGGCTTGGTGAGCTCCTTCAAACTCTCTCCATCTCCAATCAGTACTCCGCCCTCTCTGTCCCATCACCATCTGACGAAGAACCTGTGAACGCACCAGCTTACGCTGCTTCCTCATACTTGATTCAGGGTCCTTCACCACTTTGGCTGGAGCAACACCTGGGTGGGAGCAGCAAAATTTAATGAGGGGGAGTTGAATTAAAGGAATTTGTTGTTTTCTTGCTATTGTTTGTGTTTTATATTTGTGAAGGCGTTATCGGTCAGTTGATTCACATTTTAAAATTGTCTACTACTGCTCGAATATAGAAGCTTCATTATCCACATGAGGTATTATTGGCAGTCAGTGATTCTGTGAATTACATATCAATGTTTGAACAGTGATCTAAAAACTAATTATAAAGTAGATGAAATTAACAGCTTGTGATCATAAAACAAGGCAAATGACCTAGGAGCTCACTTAAGTTCTCTTCCACGACCCCAGTGACGGTGCCATATAGTTCAAATCCAGAGAGTGAGAGATAGTGGGTCTGACCGCTGGCATTCTTGCCCATCTGCTGAAGACGAATGTAACGCCAGCCTTTCTTCTCACTGGTTGAGGGTTCCAAAGGCCATGTGGCGCTGGATCTGATAAGATAAGATAAGACAATGATATACATGCATGATGTAAGGCTAATGGAAACATGCCATGTGAAAAGAAAAAAAAAAGAAGAAATGTACCACCCTCACATCAACAAGACAGAGTGCTTGTGCTCTCAAGCAAGGCATTAATCTTAAAATACTCAGACCCTTGGACGCAACTTCCTAGCAATGGCGTGAAATAACACTTCAGAACTAAAGATAGAAAATACAAGAATATTCAGGGAAATCATGGAAAGTCATGACAATTATTATCATCCCTGTTTAACGTCTAGTTTTCCTACACTATGATGTTAGGTGTTTCATTTCCTTGATGGCTTTTCTCCAAGCCTCTTATTCTCTAGCATCCATCCGGGTGACAAACAATGTCTACATGTTCCAAAAAGAGTTGACTTTGTCTGTGAGCTGTTCCTTACCCTGGTTCATTGAGAGAGCAGTCATCGGTGTGAGTGAGTAGGGTCATCCAGCTGATGCCGTCCTTGGACATCTGGAACTGCCAGTTCCTCAGGGCAGAGCGGCCATAGCCCCTGGCATGACGTAGAGTGTAGGCAGATGGTATCACCCATAAGCCAAGGTCGATGGAGTACCAAGCACGCCTGGATGAATCAAAAGAAACCATTTCAAATTTAGTGTGAGAAGCTCAAAGTAAACCGATTTTGAATCTACTTTACAAAAAGGAAAGACAGACCGACGTTAGATGATATATGTGGTTGAAAATATATGGGGTCAATAATGATGTTAAGTTGAAAATGGCTCTTTTACAATTATGGCCGTCTACATTGAGTACATAAAAGGCACAGATCTGGAAATCAATATTTGGAATTAATACATTATGCAATGTCACTATCATTGAACATTATGCAACTACATTTTAAACACTATCACATTTTTTTTCTTTTCTCATTATCTCAAGTTATACTGGGCTAAGTATTGAACAGATTAAATCTCTCAATCCTTTGCTTACTTGTCATCGTTGGTGTGACAGTTGAGAGCCGATGAGTCACGACTCAGGATGTCTTCTAGACGGCCGTAGGGAAGACCTCGTCCATCAGAGCTACTGACCACTATCAGACCATATTGACCAGGGTTGACCCATTCATACGCAGTTCTGGATAGACACAAACAGATATGATGATTCACCACTTAGAAATTGACCAATTAGAAACTCTCTGCTCAGATATATTTACAGGTATGACATTTCATCAACATGAGCTGTCTATACTAAACTATTTTCAATGTACTTTTGTCTCTGAATCTCTCTCTCTAATAACATTTTTATTTTATTTGTTTTATATACAAACATGTCAGATTACATAGCATAAAGCCTATAAAGCATCATTCATACATGATGCGCACTGCTGTAAAAATAACAATTAAAACAAAATACGCATAGTGGTGAGCTTTATATTTCTCTATCTTACAATGCACAGATAAATGAGTAAGGGCCTTTGTTGCATGCACCCAATATCCCCTCCCCCCCCCCCCTTGCCATTAACTTAATATAAAATGGTTTCACTTTGGCGCAGTGTTGTTTATTTCATTCATATGTGAAAGAGCTCTTAGTGTGCCTTTATGCTCATCTCAATCTCATCCAACCCCCTTACCTTCCTGACTGACAAACAGAAGACCCTTCTACTCACTTTGCATTAGTTCCCACCCAATAGACGATGCCATTATCATCAAAGTCATGGGTGTGTCTGAACGTGATAGACTGTGCTTCCTTCAAACGATGTACAAATGTGAAGCTTGTTCGCTCATAGTCATACCACTGCTTGGCAACCTGTAACACATAATCACATAAGGTACATTATAAGTGATATACAAATACAGCGATTGAAGTCTATTACAACTGGGAGTTGGTTTATGCAGGAATTCCTAGTGCTACAGGTGTGAATTCAAAACATTTTTTATTATTTTCTTGTATTTGGTCATGAGAGAATTTCATATTTATACATTTAACCAATACATACATACAAAATGTCTGGAGAGTCTAAGCTATGTGGGAACATTATTACGGTTCATACATGTACATGTAGATACTAATCTGTATGCACCTTAATTCATACTGACATTATCCCACACACATTTTCTATTCATTCACCAGTCCACCTATCAATTTAATTTTTTATTTCACCAATTCATGAATCCATCTCTTAAACTGACACAATTTTATTACATAACCTAATCATATGTTCACAAGTCCTATCTTGATTTTTTTTTTCTCTTTTATTTCCAATGGTATCAAGGTATAACTATCCACCCTCCTTCACTTTCCCTCATGTAGACACAACAGTCCCACTCGTACCATCTTGAGTAAGTATCTCTCTAGACTGGCCACAGTAGTAAGAGGTTCCATCTTCAATGTTCTTCCAGTTCTGTCAATGAGGGCGGTCTCTCCTGTAGCTCTCTCCAATCTGAACCTCAGCCTCCGTGTAAGAACCTGATATGGAACAAAGTAAACTTTACTTGTTAATCTTTACAAATATATATAAATATGTTGGCAAACTTGACTAGTTGAAAACAAAGGAATGTAAAAGACAACTAATAGAATCATCTATCTATTCTAAGCATTAGCAGATACAGCTAAATCAATCAATGCAAGCTATCATGTGTTTTTTCCTTCTACCATACATTAATTTCAATGTGTGATTGAAGAGGACATTATCAATTTTAATCAATATCTTTATATTGTAGTATTGATATTACTATACCATTTTATAATTTACAATCATTTTTTTGTTTTTTTGTTTGTGATATTTTTTTGTACTCTAACTTATTACTGAATTTTTAAATCTACTGTTTTTAATGCATTTTTATATGATACAATGTGAACCAATTATTGTTAGTCTTTGGACTTTTTATTTGGTATACTTAATAAAACCTAAATGCTCACCTGAAGACCATAGCTAGAACCAGCAGAGTCATAGATGAAAAGAGGAAGTCTCTCAATGGATTCCAGAACAGCTACCAGCTTACGTACAAGCATCACAGAAGGAGAAACACCACTGCAACAACAACATGGGAAAATACATCAGAATACATATCTGTATAATATGCATAATTATAAGTTTTCAGTTTGTATAGTTTCAGGGCATTTGTGAAAATGAACTACCAAGTATGAAAGTTTGGCACGATATCTTCTTGTAATATTATTCAAATATGGCGGTGAAATGATCTAGATTTGTATTTATCACTGTAAGCATTTAGAAAACACTCTGGACTTTCATGTATTTCATGACATTCATGATCAATATCAAAAAGGTACAAAAATACAGTATCACATGCTTGATAGGATTATAAGTTAAACATATCTGGTTTGGGGGGAATGTCATGATTTCTTATGCATTTTCACGGCTAAAATGTGTGTTCGTAATTTCTACGTCTTTTAAAAGTTCTAAACCAGAGGGAAATATTAAGTTGCACTTACCCATCTTCATCATTGTTATCTCTGAAGGATGATTTGAAGAGAGCCACTCTCTCCTTGATGTAGCGGTCATGAAGAGCAACATGATCATAGCCCTAAACAAAGGAGATTTATGTGGAAATCAAAGTTAGAAATCATTTCCATTGGTTACAAAGATATGATTCAAACTTAAAAATATGTTACATGGCAGATATGAGCGTTGATACATGATCTTAATATCACTAACATCATAATCATAAAGTTCATTAGCCATAGCGAAGTTATGATCAAAAACCTTGTTCCCCGCTAACCCCTTGATATCCATTACTATTACTATCGTGTAATTCTCTGATAGTTCTAATCATCAAAACCAAATCTATCCCAATCTCAGATTTCGTCTCTTTTTCACCTTAATTCCTGTGCAAGGCAAAGAAATCTGATATACGTTACAAAGAGTTAGCAAGCTGTACCATAGTATTGTGAACATGAATTGACATAAAAATATGATTTTGTTAGATTTTTGTCTTATTCAGTTTCTAGTAAGGCCATCAGCTACAATCATCTAGTATACTGTAATTGTAGATGTGGTCGGTAACATATAGGACTAAATAGCTTGGACTTGGGCTAGCCCTCCTTTCTGCCATTGATATGTGTATATCTCACATTAAGAAAGCATACAAATGATTAAAGGCTTACATCACTGAGGCAGTAGAGAAGAGCCTGTACCAGGCCACTGCTGTGTAGCTCATACGCTGAGATGTTGTTCTCCTCTCGTAGGAGACAGGTTAGAGTCTCGAGAGCGCCCTTCATCTCCTCCATCCAGCCTTGCTCATCATCAATGCCCTACACGTTACACAAACACAAAGTAGTATCAAACTATGCATTGATATTTTACAATAGGGTCATGTTTATTTAGTTATTTATATCTATTTAGCCTTTCTTCTCAAGAGTGACCAGGGCCCTGTCTTACAAAGAGTTGCGATTCATCCAAATCAATCTTATGTCCTCTTATTGATCGCAACTTTGCAATCTCCTATCTCTTATGTACATAGTTGCAATTGATATCAATCGCAAATAAGTTGCGATTAATATCAACTCTTTGTAAGACAGGGCTCTGGATGCTTTAGTATCATACCTTTCTATGTGAGTTGAATATTAAATTACATGTAGAAAAATCAACTTCCAATTTTCATTGACATAAAATGGGGAAACATTCATGCATCTTAATAATACACTTTCTACCTGGACATGTCTCGTACTAAAGCTTTCTTTTGCTTCCTGTCAACATTCTTTGTCTATGAGACCTTCATATAACCCTAGTCTTGAAAGATATTTCTATTCACTTTATTGCATGAATGGAAGCACAAATGTGGCTTTTAATCTGGCTTAATCATTTCCTGTATGTCATGAACTTTAATTTCCTATTGGCATATAATGATAGCCTTCTACCAGGAAGCACCCAGTCTTTTGTGCTTAGTCATCTTTTGATGTCATGTTCAATGGAATGTACCTGCATTTTAATACACATAGTATCCTGTACCCTTGAATGTCTTGTAGGCCTGTGGATATGACTGAATGGGACATGCATTACAATACACTATGGAACAGCACTTAAAAAGATGGCATTAAGATGACCTGACCCTATTGTGAATTGGATGTGACCTGCAACAATAGAGCATTATATTTTAGATAAAGCACCCATATCCCCCTCCTCTGAGCACACAACCAATGACCAATGTTGTGCTTTGTCTTGTGCTTCATGATTTATGAAGGTTTTCCTGGAACGACACACCAAGTACCTGCACTATTATTCACATATCACCCTGTACTTGTTACTGCCTTATAATGCAGTTGATTAATTACCTTGATGGGGTCATTGTAGAGGTCACATGCAGCCTCTAGCTGCATCACAATGGAGTTGAGTTTAGCTACCACGTCTCTGGGATGAGACTCTGCGACCTTGAAGTAACCTTCATACAGCTCACGAGCAAGTGTCTTCACCTGAGAAAAAAAGGATTTTAAAAGGATAAATTGCTTTCACTTATGCCATCAAGAATTCAATGATTATTCTTTCCGTCAAAATATAATGATGGTCAGCATTGATTTGTCAAATACAAGTTTGTATTCCCACTGAAGTACAAAGACTTGTCCCTCCTATCAATTTTAAAACTCGAGATGATTAAATGGCCTTAAATTTTATCATTTATGATGCTGCATTTCTCTAAAGGCACATTTGTTGATGTGCCACATTCGCACAAACAACATGTAAAAAGATTTGCAATAGGATTGCATTATGCACTGTAAAACCTTCAGGTAATAATAATTTTTTATCTTTATTACACTTAATGCTACTTTTCTACAAAATGTTTGCAATAGAATTTTATAGGGAATATAAAACTTATCAAAAACTATTGCGAATGATTCAGTTATAAGTCAAATCTACCTTTTGCTGGACCTGTTCCAGTTTAGATCGAAACCTCCTTCCTCTCTTTCCAGTCCAACCAGTAGAAAACTCTGGACCTAGTGAGGTCTCTGCGATGAAAGAGTGCTTAGTCCCACGATTAGACTCAAAGATGAATCCAGCTAGGTCCTCCCTCAGAACTGTTGCTTGTTGCTGTGAAACAAACAAAACATTATAGACAATAATTAGAAGGACTATGACTGTGGGTTAGGCCTAGGACTTACCAGGATTTTTTGTCAACAACTACCATCTTAATTGAAACAGACTGCAATAAATGTAATTTCCTTTTCTTTTAATTAAATGATCCCTCAATTTAATTTGGTAGATATCAACACACTTCGGTGTAAAGGAGCTAAATTGGAAGTGTTGAAAAAAGTGACAGAAAAAAACTAGATGGAATTCGACTGCGCGCAGTCGAAAATGATGCCTCCGTCATAGAGCAATTTTACAAACCAAAACAGAAGAAATTTTTCAAATTCAAGTTCAATTGTAATCCATTAACAGGTTCTCAGAATATCGTGATTACAAACAATTTCTCATATACATATATGACCCTTTGAACTTTGACCTCATGATCCTAATATCTACTCAGCTCATTGGCTCTGCAAGATATCCAGAGTTAAATAGTAATCCATCTGTCAGTTCTAATGAGAATGCGTTCACAAGCTATTTTTGCATACATAATGAGCCCATGACCTTGGACCTTATGAACCAAGAATCTACACAGTTCATTGGCTCTGCAAGATACATAAATGATCTAAGTTTGGCAGGAATCCATCAATCTGTTCTAATGATAACGCGATCACAAGCTGTTTTTGCATACATAATGGGCGCTGTGACCTTTGACCTTTGACCTCGTTACCCAAAATCTAATAAGTTCATCGGCTCTGCAAGTAACATACATGACCTAAGTTTGGCAGGAATCCATCAATCGGTTCTTGAGATAACGCGATCACAAGCTGTTTTTGCATACATAATGAGCCCTGTGACCTTTGACCTTGTGACCCCAAAATCTAATCAGTTCATTGGCTCTGCAAGATACATACATGACCAAAGTTTGGCAGGAATCCATCTATCGGTTCTTCAGATAACGCGATCACGAGCCGTTTTGCATACATAATGAGCCCTGTGACCTTTGACCTTTGACCTCGTGACCCCAAAATCTAATCAGTTCATCGACTCTACAAGATACATACATGACCAAAGTTTGGCAGGAATCTATCAATCGGTTCTTCAGATAACGCGATCACGAGCTGTTTTTGCATACATAATGAGCCCTGTGACCTTTGACCTTTGACCTCGTGACCCCAAAATCTAATCAGTTCATCGACTTTGCTAGATACATATATGATCAAAGTTTGGTAGGAATCCATCGATCCGTTCTTCAGATAACGTGATCACGAGAACGGGACGTACGTACAGACGTACGTACAGACGTACGGACGGACGGACGGACGGACGGACGGACGGACAACCCGAAAACATAATGCCTCCGGCTACTTCGTAACGGAGGCATAAAAAATGTATGTTTGCATATCCATTTTATTTCTAATAAAAATAAAGCACACCTTCCAAATCATCAAATGAAAGATGTTTTTAGACAATAGTTCTTTTACTTTAAGGGTTGTATTGAGAGCACATAACAACACCTTCCAAATCAAAGATTTTCAAAAAATAATTTTTATGGGTGGGTTGAGAACAATATCAAAAGAGAGATAAAATCAAGACCTAACTACATGAGGTTCGCTCCATATTCAAACTAACCTGTTGTCCGTCTGAGTTGTGAATGACCAGTTCACCTTCTTTCTTGCACTGTAGTGTCCAGTTACCTACCACTAGCTTGGTTGGACCAGGTATGGAGAGGATAGGTTGGGTCTGAATAGCAGGCATTACTTGACTCCTGGCACGCTGTAACTTCTCAAGGAACTCACTACGACTCTCTGGGTAAAGCAAATAGGAAAGACCAGGATGTCTGATGTTACAACAAAGTTAGATGGTGTGAAACTATAACATAACACTGTTTATCGATGATACTGTAGGCAACCATCGGTCAGAGTGGACAAGGGGAAAGAAAGGCGTCCAAGATAGATGATGTGCTGCTGCCAATATAGCAGCTCTAGCTGCGGCTGATGAGGCCTTAGGCTTGAATAATAATAATAATATAATAGAGTATTATGGCAATACCTTGAGCTCTGGCCACATATAAACTCATTACTTGTCTTAACACTATATGTACAATATAAAATAAAGATTGAAGCGCTTGGGGTAAATGGTATAGTCATGCATGACCTTCAAACATACCAACCCATTAGTTAACCATCATTTTAGAATAGTATTACACTTTCTCTTGTGTAGTTTACATGCCATCTCACCTGAGCTATCAGAGCCTCCCTCAGGGCTACCACTGGAGTACATGGTTGCCAGTTTGCCATCCAGGATAAACCTGAACCAGCCGTTACTGCCATTGGAGAGCTCCAACGCAGCAGCATCGCTCCAGATATAGAGACAATCCCTACCCCGGGCTAAGCACCAATCTTTCCAGCTGTAAGGTCGACCTGCTACAACCTCCTTAGAATCATCCATCCTCTGTGTCTGGGGTTGCTGCTGTAGCTGCGGTTGTTGATGTTGCTGTTGTTGTTGTTGCATATGTTGATGGTGTTGCTGCTGCTGCAGTTGGTGGTGTTGATCATCAGGGATCTCCTGGAAATACATCAGCATAATTCAAGGTTGAGACAAACACAGGCATGCATAAGACTACCAATAACTAGAGCAAAGTAGTATCAACTCCCTGAGTATATTTCAACAAGATATTTTTCTCATGAAAAAAATAATCCAGGTCCTCGAGATCCACAACAGCATTCAGCTGATTGCTATATTTTACAAATACTTCAATGAAACTCAAGTTGAACAAACCTGGAGAGTCTCATATTGTAATGGATGCACATGCTATGTAAGAAGCCAGTATTATCATAATCATTTTTATTATCCTTATCGCAATTACCATTGCCATTCTTGTTTTAACTATTATTAACAATAAAAACAATTTGACTCACCCTCTTGACTTGAGCAGTGGCCCCTTCCTCCTCTCTGTCCTCATCTAGAGGTCCAACTAGGGAAGATACCTTGCTGAACACACCTAGTCTGGCAAAGTGGTCCAGGAACAGATCCTGGCCCTTGTACATCAGGTCTTGAATGATCTGGAGGGCTGTCAGGTGACCCTCGTCATCATCCTATCAAGTCAATGAACAAAATGAAATTGTGTCATCTTTGACTTTTAAGTACACTGTCATGATTGTCATTGTTTCTAATTAATTGTTACCTAGGTGGTAACTAAGACAGGAGTTAAGGAACATATTTACATGATTATGCCTGCTTTACGAGCACTCAGGTCAAATATACAAAAATTCCATTATTTCACCTTAAATCAATAACAATATCATCATCATCATCATCATCATCATCATCATCATCACTGTGTACTATCTTAACAATGTTTACCTCATGATCTAGGACTGCTGCTAGTACTTCAACCAAGACGGGTGTGAAGCCTAATAGATCTCCTGAGCAGATCTCACATAGAAGCCTGGACGGTGCATAGTGGATCATCTTACGTATAAGAGCTAGTGTAGCTTTCCTGTAGAGCAATCAGATCAAATACATAAGCTCAGGCAATACCCTGAAATAATAATATTCTTTGGAAAAATGTTCATGGAAGGGGAGGGGGTATGCTCTGTTTTGATACTTTTTGTCTACTACAACTTTAAATTTAAGCATTAGGAATTACATGTAGCTATAATAATACAAACTATCCCTTTTGTTTAGCTGATGTTAATAGAGTTGGCACATAAACTTGTACAAATCCTTACTAAAGAATATATTTCTTCTTCTTAATTACAATATCTATATAAATAATAAATATCCTTATTATAACATTTAAATTAATTGAGAAAGATACCATCTAGTCTATTAATAGAAATGTTATAATGCATACTGAATGTGCAAAATAACTCTTATATTGTTCAATTTCGAAGGAAACAAACTTGAATGAGGTCATTTAATATCCTTCAATTTAAGAAGTTTAAATAAACTACACAAAGTGCAGAAAGAACAGATTCTGGGTTATAGCAATAACAACACATGGTCATTGATATTGAACTTCATTTTCCAATGTCAATCATCTGTGATCCTGAATGCTATGTTTGATGGAATGCCAATCATACAATCAGCAGCGTAGTGAATAGGAAACAATCACAATGGATGACCTTGTGTATAATGTCACACCTATGATCCTGTGTCAACAAGCATGCACTGCTGTCTCAATGGTCTGTTTTGATAGGAACCACATCCATGTGTATAGTGACTGTGCTTCCTCTGTCTGTGATCTCAATCATTACAACTTGAAAGCGTGCCAATTATGAAACACATGCTGCATCGAGCAATCCAAACCAGAATTGCACTCACTTGGCAGTATATTTGTCTACCATTTTTTTTTATAGAAACAGCTGGGGTTTCATTCTTGAGGTACGGATAACTTATGCAAATACATGCTTATCATATAACTAGGAAGCAGAACTAAAAAACAAATATTAAAATATTTTCAAAATTGTATAACAAAGCTTTAACATACAGAATGAGAGTTGTTCGTAATCAATCTTGCTGCAAAATACTGAGTATTCAAAATTTGAGAAATGAAACAAATAAAGAAACAACCAAGAATCCTCTGACACCAAATAAAATACTAAAACATGAAGAGGGGAAGCTAGAGATACAAATGATATGAATCGTGACTACAAGAACACAAACACAGATAGGTAGACAGACAGAAAAGGAGAGAGGGAAAGAGAGAGAGAGAGAGAGAGAGAGAGACATACACAGGAAACACATACAGAAGACAGGGTAAGAGACAATCAGAAAAGGAGAAAGAGATAAACTGAGAAGGAGAAACAGAGAGAAAGAGAGAGAGAGAGGAGGGGGGGGGGGTGTCAGGTTACCTGGACAATGTGCGTACTAACCTGACTGAAGGCATCATGGTGTTGTTGTAGACTTGAGCAAAGATAGGCAGCATTTTCCTGAGGTAAACAGGAGCCATCTCAGGGTCTCCCTTGGGTTCCCTATCCCCGTCCTCTGGTTTGATTTCCTCTGGGCTCGTGATGGTAGACTCTGTGGCTGATGATACAGGCACCATCCATTCACCTTGGTAGGGTAGGGTAGGTTACAGAAGAAAAAACAGTACACAGAAATGAGTGAATGGAATATAACAATTATGACATCAACTGCATCAGATAATTTTTTTTTTTTTTTTTTTTTTTGTGACTGATATGATACAAGCATCCTACTTTGCATCACATGTAACAAAACCATAGTCTTCAAAGAAAATGTTACCTGAAAAACTCATCTAAAATTTTGAAAGGAGAAAAAAAAAAAGAAAAAAAAAATTAAAAGACAATATTACCAATAAGGAGACTTACCTGGAGATTGTAGAATCTGCATGACCTCACGATGACCTTCGTCATTTCTTTCCCTAGCCTTGTCCAAAGGAGTTTTACCATCTTCATCCCTTAGATCAGGATTAGCACCATGACGAAGCAGGGTCTAATTTATACAAATTGATAAGTGAGTAGAAATGAGTTCCTATCTGTTTCTGGTTTTGGCACAATTAGTTTGGATTTGATTTTACATAGCCTGAAATGAAAATGTTTTAAAAATTGATGATGATTGCAATCTCAACAGTGTTAGTGAATTCAATTAATGTAAGGACATTAATTCTCTTCAATCTTGATTTATTTTTACATTTTCATAGAGCATAATTATTCTATTTTCTCTTAAAATAAACAAACTTCATAACAATTTCCCATTTACTGTGATTGTTATTTTTGTTAGTTTTAATACAGTCAAACCTGTCTATAGCGCCCAAGGAAAACACAAAAAGTAGTCTGTGTAGACAGGTGGTCACTAAAGCAGGTTTGACTGTAGCAATTTTTTTTCTTTTTCAATTGCTCATTATAAGTACAATTACTTCATGACTGACACTTATTAACTGTCAATGATCAGTGTACCAAACAAAATTAACCTTGTAAATGTGCAGAGAAAATCTGTTGATATATTTGCACAGGATTGAGATGCAACTAAATGGAAATGATGTAAATTTAGCCTTCATCAAATTCTGTACTGAACAGGATTCAGGATATGATTTCATGTTTGTTTAACTGTCAATGATCATTGCAAGGAGGGGGGGGGGGGGGGGTTCTGATTCATAGAAGAGCGCTCACATGTCCACACACATGTGAAACTAATCACATATCCTGTTGCTCATTCCAAATTCAAATCAAATGTGAATAATGTATGACATTGAGTAAGTACGAATAACATGTAACTCTGAACAAAGGGGAAGCGAGTCATACACAATATCTCTATCAAATGAAATCCTACAGATATGAAGACAACATATTACAGACAGACTTTAATACAGAACTAAGGCTTAAAAGGTGGAAAATTGAGAAATTCATTATAAAAGAATGAATGAAAATGACAGATAGCATGAAATGGGAAAACACAAGAAACCAATACATTTTTTAAAGATATTTAAAAAAAACTAAAACACATTATTTAAGAATTCAGGGTCTAAAAATGGACATGATTTTACATACCTTGGCTACTTGAGGTCTACCAAAGCATGCAGCATAGTGTAGAGAAGATGACCTTTGACCTCTGTTGACGTCAGCTCCTCTTTCACACAAAAACTCAACCTGAGGGAAGATTACAATTAAAAATCACTTAAAATACTATAACATTTATTTGAAAAAAAAGAATACAATATCCCTGAAAATAAAGATTAAGTGAAAACTTAAGTACAAAACCATATATTATTCCACTTGCTACATATAAATGGAGTAATCATATATTCTTATCAAGAAATAAAAATACTGATAGATTTTGTACTGAATGCAACATAAATACATGTAATGGAAGTTTGAACAAATAGTGGAATGTTGATAAATGTATTCATAAACACACCTATACCCTCAAAAACCACATGGTTATAAATGTTTGTTTCATTTTTCTCTCATAACATGACTATATCTATCAGCTGACTATAACTATTATTAGATGAACTAAACTCACCATTTCCTGAGTTCCAAAGGCTGAAGCCCAGTTGAGCAAGGTCTGGCCTACATCATCCATGTAGTTTACCTCAACTGATGGGTTGCAACAAAAGAACAAGAAAACAAAACATCAACATTTTTCTTAATTTTGTTTTCTCTTGGCTTTCTTTCATTTCTCTGTTTACATACACAGTACCTCGATAAGAGTTCTGCTTTCTTGTTGAAGTAAACTGAAAAAGATGTAAAATTGGGACTTAACGTAACTTTACAATCATCTTCAGAAAAAACGATTCCCACCCCCCTTCAAAGAAAGGAATAAAATAATAAAAATAGAAAATTTAAAGTAACACGTTCAAAACTTAACAACCAAATAACATCATTACATAACTCATTTTTTATCAACATTTTTTATCAACATTACAAAACAAGAAAATCATTCAAAGTATTAAATATAAATTGCACTATTTCACAGCTCCTAGTTCATTTTATTGTCCACCAAAAATTCAAGATTTGATATGTGCATTCTCCGAAATGTAAAAAGAAGATGTTTGAAATGAAAATACATAATAGCTAGAAAGAGTCTCATCATCTCTTACCTCCTGTATCTATAGCATCGATGAGAGCATCGGTGTCCTTGCTACGGATACAGTCAATGAGATGACGATGGGTGCGTTCTCCAGCGCTGTCAAGGCGACGTAGACCCGTAGTACTGCTACGAAGCCTAGGGGCAATGCTGGACTTGGGGAGAGCCTTACGCCCCTCAAACAGAAGCACCAGAAGGAGGTCTACCAGACGCATGGTGTCCAGGACACATCTGTACGGTGACAAGGTAGTTCAAATAAGGTTTTATTCATTACTTGTCAACAAGTCCGAAGACTAAAAATGCAAGTTTACATCAATATAAAAAGCATTCAAAAACATAAAGATAACATAGCAAATGAGGACAAATATATAACAATGAATACATTTTTAAGTTAAAACATTTAAGTAGTAACAAGAAAACAAAACAACAAAAAAGATTTTTTTTAAAATACAAGATATGAAATATTGCTAGCAAAAATGAATAAATGTTGACATATAAACAAATAAAATGTATACAGATACGTGAAGGTAGGGATTGTAGATGAAGGGAACTTTATAAGATACCAGCTCTCCAGCACACCTTAAGCAATTACAGCACACACAACAAAATGTAATGAAATCAGACTTTCTAAATACTAAATATTTGATGAACATATTCATGCTACATACCTTTCATCACCCATGAGAGCCTTTTCTATTGATGCAGGGAGGTCTGATCGCAATAAATCCTGAAATGAAACATTTTAGAAATTGATATTACTAACTTTTGAACTAACTGCTGCTTCATAACAAAAAACATATCTCCTCATTATTTGGCATGAGATTAAAAACTCTATATAAATACAACTTTGAAGTCTACCATGACTTATCAGAATGTGTTTTTAGAAATTCTTTCACAATAAGCAAAATTGTAGTACTGACAGCAATGTTTATCCCACACAATAAATGAACTATTTTACCCTAAAATCACAATTTTTCTTCAAGAAGAAATACATGTATACATAAATTGTGTTTTAATATCACACATTATTAAAATATCTTTAAAACTGAAACAGTTGACTACTACATATGTAGGTATAAATTATCTCCAAGAAGCCAATATTTACATGAGTAACAGTCGGTGAACCTCTACATAGAGTTGATAGTAGACTGATAACAGTAGAGATGTTAGGGTTGCTCTTGGAGTCTGGTGTCGCCCCTGCTGCTGGCCGAGGGGTGCTGGATGGGGTAGTGGTGGTGGTAAAGGAGGCAGGTTGGCCACAATTGGCCAGACGTTCTAGGAGCTCATTGGTCAGTCCATGACGGGCAAGAGGGGCAGGGTCTACCCCACGCCTTGTGAAGCGGTCAGCGAGGGATGCAAAGCAGCGTAGGGCTCCATCAGCAACCTGAAATGTATTGGGGGGGGGGGAGGAATTAATTTATAATTTAATAAAATTAAAAAATATTATGTTGATGGACAATCAAACATATAAATACAACAAATACTGTGGGAAACAAACATCCCTCAGAAAACAATGTTTACAACTTGACACTAGAGTAAATGAACTTCTACATGTACAAAGACCTTCCTCTGTGAATACAAGATTAAGTCAAAAATAACTTAACTATGAAAAAATAAATTGAGATTGCTTTACAGAAAAGAAATCAAATTTATTTCAAATACAGCAAACTTCTTTGACCTTAGATAAGCTCAATATGTCATATTCCCACGTTTATGAAACGTAATGAATTCAAATAATTACTAATTTGTAAAATGTTATAAGGTTTACAACTTTACATTTACAACTGTACATGTACATGTACATGTACTGTAGCCCCAGTCTAACAGTGTCTACTTTGCCTTCAATTCTGGGCTACTACCATACAATTAACAACAACTATGAATAAGAAAAGCACCTAAACTATTTTTGTTTGTACTGCAGAAACCTCCCTGTTAAAACTACCAAGGCTACCACAAGCTTTTATAAGTGCATTGCACACGGTATGGCTATACATGTACGTAGTCAGAACTGTACAGTGGGTGAAAGTTGTTACCGGTAAACAAATAAAATGACAAGAAAAATACATTATTATATCTTTCCCCTTTTGGGTGTCTCAGGTTAAAACTACAATGAAACAACATGTACAGTGTACATGTTTACAGGGAAACGTGATTGATATACACTATGCTCGTACAGCCTCTAGGCTACATGTACATGTACATGGAAACAAAATAGCAGGTTGATAAGACTGTATTTCTGGGTGACACACCACATGGTATATCAATCAATCAACATCACAGCTTCTTAATACATGCAATAACAACAGCCAAGCATACCCTGGGCTGACTGCTCACAATTCAAGTATATCATCAGCATATTTTGGGTCATATTTAGACTGTCATTTGAATGAATGTGCGGTACGTGTCGCCTTGTTTTATTGATTCTTTCTTATCGAATAAGATCATTTGATTTGCTTTTGAATTTTTTTATTGGATTTCTAAAGGTGGCATTTGTTTATATATTTTCATGTGATAAACATGTAAATCATTTAAACTTTTCAGACAAAAAAATTAAACTTTAACTGTAAAGGATATGTCAAAGGCTAATTTTTTAGTGAAGGTGAATGATAATTTTTTTCAAAATAAATATACCAATATATTAATCATTCTTGCACATGTTAAGAACAATATAAAAACATGTTTTTAAAACCTTGGTAGGTTTCTTGATGCAAGAGAGTGATTAGAAGCTTATTTCAGACAGGGCAATCTCTTACAATACGAAGAAAGATACCATACATTGGAGTAAACCATACATCTATTGACCATGTATGTAATCGTGTCAAATCTTTGAAAATAATGAAGCCATCTAGTAAAACGGAAGCTATAGACTGCATCTACTACTGGGTAGTGTAACCCTTAGGTCATGTCAGTGTGCACACCTTATTTTAAAAGGACCTTATCGTACTCCACGACTACTGTAGGAAGCCATTCTAGAATATGCTACAGCTTCCCTTTATCGTATGAGACCATAATTATATGAATATTTCTGAGTTATACCATTCATAAACAAGAATTTTTTTATTTTCATATACCTCTTTGACAAGGTTTTCATATGTAAGGATTCTTGCTTATGAAATGGAAGCTCACTTGCAAAAAGGATCCAATATCTTTTCACAAGTCGATGCTCCTATTATGCTCGCTTAAGTAACTTGCATTAAGCAATAAATATCATGTATACAAAGTCTGTATAAGCTACATGTACATAAAGAAATTGGTATTTTCATATTTTCATATATTTCATAGGAGAAAATAAAGGTTGCATGAAATACACTGTAGGTATTTCATGTGTAACATCCATTTTGTAACATTTTCAATTACATTTTAAAGTGTAAGTATAATACTAAATACCTGGTACCGTACGTAACAATTGTGTCACCTACAAATTTACTCAAAATATGCAATGACAAATCAGGTCAAATTTTTTATCTTGCTACCTTAAATATCTTTATAATCTCTTTCCTTGTGGTAATACGCAATAGAAAGACTTTGCTGTACTACTTGTTAATAAATGTGGTATCAATCTTATTCAAAACGATAATGATTCAAACAGCGTCAGTTATTATTTTGTTGTAGGGTATTGTAAAGTTTATAAAAGTTCAGTCAAATTATGAGATTAAAGTTCAGTTTCCATGAATTATACATTTTCTTCAGCAATTTACTGTCATGAGGAAGGTCTGATGTAATTATGTACACTAACAAATCTATTTAAATCTGCAAATCCCTTGCGAAGGACTTGCATTAATCAGGCTCAACAGAGCTCTGTAGGGGTATTATGCAGTACATGTACATTGTGGCAAGCCACAGAGTAATCCAATAGAACTATGACATGTAGTAATAAGTGGTTCTGCAAGTTTTATTCAATATAGGAAATACATGGGGATTATAAAGAATTTTAAAAATAAGCCATTAGATGGTTCAAGAATGGGTTATTCTGAGTACTTAACCAAGTGAGGCAGTTGTGCCGGGTACTGCAGAATGATTTGTCCATGTACATGTTAACAAATGAATGAATTGAAGAATTGCATAAATCACTAAAATTACATGTTATCACATAACAAAACTCCACTTCCGTCAAAGTAATGAGAAGTAAAAGATAAAATCAAAAAATACATGTACTGTATTTATGGAATAGCTTTTTGAAACTTTTTGTTTACACTTCAGGTTTCAGTTGTGATATTTATAATGTGTGAGGGAAATGTATATACACTGGAATAACTCATAGACAAACAAACAATTCAACAATCTACAAAAGGAGGAAGGGAGGGACGGCAAGATATTTATTTCTGGAGCACTATATTTTACTTTCGGCACAGCTGACTGACATTAAAGAATGCAAGATTGATGCCTTGGCTCTTACCAGTGATAACCATCTCTTTATTAATATATTCTATTGTAAAACCAGCAACTTTTATGTGCATTAAACTGTCACAAAAACCCGCAAAAGATTTGCAAAGCTTCATGCTGGAAAATAATTGAATCACAGCTGACGCAACACTAAATTATTGCAATCGTAAAAGTTTTGTCATGAAAATGGCTGTCCTTTAATAGCAATTTGTGAAAGTTTTGTGTTGTGACATTTTCTGGTTGTACATTAATCTTGAACACTCTGCTTCTATGTTCTTCCATTCTGAACAGAATTACTGAGTAATATGAAATCTTAAAGCCCCACTGCACTTCTTATAGCTACTTGCATCCTCTATACAGCTAACAATGCCTAAGCGGTACCCGTTGTTCCCCCATGATGTCCTTTTTCTTATGTTTATTGAGAGCTGTTTTGATGAGATAACCACCTGTCAGTGACCTTGCAGGGAGGTCTAATCCCTCCATGCCAAACAAGTGCAGAGGGGCTTTAATGTAATGTAGATTTGGGATGAGAAACTTACATGTGGATCTTCATGTTTGAGGAGGGTTGAGAGGGACTCTACACACGTCTCTAATGAGGTGTCTGAAGGCTCCATCTTGCCACATAGCCTGGAGACAACTGCCATAGCAGAGTGTAGAGTATCCTTGTGGATCATGGAGCCATTATCTCGTATGAAAGACAGAACGCAATGCAGACCTCCAGCCTCAAACACAGCTCCAGACTCCCGTGTGCACATCAATTCAAGGACCTAGTTCGTATAGACAAAAACCAAGAAAATGAAACTTAGTTGAGAAATGGAACTCAATCAATGATTGGCAGTTGCTAATTGATGTAAAATTATTATCTGGATTTATTTAGCAGTCAATTTGATTCATTATTACATTAATGTAATCCTTAAGTTTAGTTAAATCTACAGGTAGCTATTGTACATACTCTATTTTGTTGAAACTGTAATATAAATCTCATACAATTCTCAGTACTCAGAGAGTTTACATGTAGATATTTCACTGTTTAATATAAAATAAATGAACTAATAGTATGAAATCACATGGCATACTAAAAACTGGGAAATATTCATATGTAATGTACTCGTGGGAAGAAACTAATTTTCCAGGCAATGAATTTTTAAAGCCATTCCTTACATTATGCTTTTCCCTAAGAGTACATTGTTGTTTGTTTACTATTCTTGTTTTGGGGGACACAAAGCATCTATAAGTTGATAATTCTTTGCTTGATAAATGTATAGCAAATGCTTTGAAAGAGTTCAGTCATGCTAGACACTATTCATGCCACAAAACTATTTCAATGAAAAGGGAAAAATAAGGCAGATATAAATACATCACTTTCTGTTCTGAATGCTTCAATATCTTTTATTATTCTAAAATTCTAAAAATCTAGCAAAGACAAACACCTAATACCATCAGCTATGGGTTGTATGCAAAAAGGCAGTAAAAAGAATTGTCAGAATAAGTACATGTACATTTGTATATTTTTGTAAGGACATTATTATCTTCAAAAAGTTTATGTACACTGTACATGCAGTTGCAGAATAATTCAAGTGTAGGCCTACACGTACATGTACGTGACAAACACAATCGGCTATTTGTACATGTACTCATTTGCAAACAGAAACTGAAGAATACTTTCCACGTATTGGCACTACATGTATTTCTTTAACTTCAAAGTAGCATGTTGTTGGACTGAAGGATAATTCTATTTCTGGACTGATGATACATGTAAATATGATTTGTTCAGTGCTCTCCTGCCAAGTTGCCTCTCCCTCCTTCATAATGTCTCTTCTAATCAAGACAAGACATGAGTCTCTCATGACCAAGCCTCCCTCATACTATCTGATCATGTCTGCTTTGTGAATTAGTGCAAGAAACTATTACTCATAGGTTACCTTGATACATTGTTCGGCCAAATCCTTGCTGGTTCTACAAGAGAGCTCTACAACAACCAGACGATTACAAAGGGCCTTGACAGCGCCATCTACGGCCACGATCCTACGGGTGCATTCTGCCGAGACATCTAGGTAGTAGGTGATGGCTCGGGCAGTCACTTCCAGTACGTTGTCCGGAGCATGCTCGTCAAGAAAGATACGGCATAATGCAGGAAGAAAAGTCCTTGGTGGACAACTAAAAATGTAAGAAAATATATACAAACAAACATTATATTCCAAAACTACAACTTCATAGCTATTTTCATGTAAAATGAAAGGTTCAGGGGTTTGCCAATATTACGACTACCGTATGTAAAAACAGACATACTGTACAATACATGTATTTGCCATGAGTAGAAAAAGAAATACGTTCTACACCCCAAATGGCCCTTTGATTTTTATTTCTAAGTACAACCTACATGTACATACATGTACTGTACATGTTCACCCTGTTCATTTTTGCTCTCAAAATTATTTTCAGAAATATTTTTATGTCATTACATACTTAACATCTAGTAAATAAAGCCTTTATACTGTAATGGTACAATAAACATCCTTAGAATATTTATGATTGCTCATATAATTGCAGTATAAACCCCTGTGTCATCTGGAATAGACATGAGCAGAAGATAAGTCAGTGATGTGTAAATATGACTATAGAAAGTAAACTGTATGACTCAACCCAGACACCTTTTATCCAAACAAGAATTAATATACATGTACATGTATGCATGGCTTCACACTGGCACCTAAATAAAAATGTATATCTACACGTAATCAGTTTGCTTTAAGTTTCTTTTTAAAAGTACAGCACAATTTTTCCAGCAGCCACATGCCAGGGAAATATTAATTGGCATGCAACTCTCATTCTTCTTTAAGTCTAGTCTGGCCTTTCCTATTCAATTGTTCTGTTGACTAGATTCTAGCTTTCCTCTACTTCTTGTTTATAGTAATATGATACAGCAAGGTGAAACTAAAATGAGACAACATGATTCACTGAGACAGATCAATTGTAAATTAAAGGCGATGCAGATGTTGCCCACAAGGTATGGATGACATTCTTTGTTACACTGTATCTCAAATAATTTAATTTATGTAATTTAATAAGTCACCAGTCACAAAAGTGTGTATGCTAACATACAGGTACATTTAAATATGTTCAATTTTGGGGTCACTAAAGCTTATTTTTCCTGTACATTTATATGTAGGCCTATGTCTTTATGTACATGATCAGACTGAGATTATACTGAGATTACACACTTACTTTAATTCCCTTTTTTCGATAAATTGTCGATCTAAACATGATATTTTTACAACATTTTAGGATTGTTAACATTGTTTTTCAATTCTACTACCAAATTTATGATCATAGAATTCTACTCAAAGATTGCCTTTAAGTTACATGTAGCTGTGAGTGGCAGCTGCAGCAACACCTAATTGGCAATTTACTTCCCTGCGTGCTGAAAAAAGTGCATAAGTTATTCACGTTTTTTTTCCTGCACGCCTACGGTGTATTTCTACTTCATCATTTCATGCACATTTTGTACACAGATGTTCAAAGCCCAATTATGACAGGACACGTTTACACCATGACACGTTTTCTTGCAGAGTGTGAGCTGTCTGATCACAAGTTATGAAACATGCATGTATCTCAACATAAGGGAAATGTTTTATTCAGAGGCTGGGGATAAAGTACACATCTTGATTTTTAAACTTCTAGGAAAAGTTCTGTATTGATTCAAGAGAATAATGTAGAGAATTTTGAAGTGTATTTTCTTCAATTGGTGCACAGGTACATTTTTTTGCATTCTTCCATTGACAAAATTAATGTTTATTTTATTTATTTATTTTTAATCAGAAGCTAATCCATTTTTATTACAGCGCAAAATAAATTGTTTAATTAAAAAACGTACCATATTTTCATTCACAATGATACAAACAAACAAGCAAACTGTCATTACTGTTTATTCATAACAATTACATGTATTTTTTGTTTATCATCAATGATATAGTGAAAACAGCTAGCCCTAACTCTACTTTTTCATTGCTCTCTATTCAGTCTCTCCCCACATTTGCTGTTCAATCTCTGTGTCCACAGCATGATACAACCGCAACTCCGACATTCAAAACAAACATTTGAGACACATACAATGCACACATTGCAATTCAATTAAAGTCAGCAGCCACGTCAATTGAGTCATTTGAATACTTTAAATGCACTGTAATCCTGCCACTCACTGGCAATCATTTAAAACAGTGAACACGTAAATGTACACGTAGGCATTAAAATTGCTTTGTTCTGTGAAGTTTCAAAATGAAAGCATTACTCTGTTTTCCATGAACCATTGTTACAAGTTATTTTCATCAACCCCCTGGTATTGTGTGAGATATTGTTTTCATGCCCTCTGACTCTTGACTCTCGTTTCTCTTGACCTCTAGCAGTCATAGAGACATCATCCCCTTCCTTGCCCAATCCCTAACACCCCTTGGATCCTTTCTCCCCTTCTTCATTCACACCCCTCCCCTCCCTTTCTCCTTTGTGTAAATGAATGAGCTCCTTCAACCATTAACCCTAAGGTCAAATCATTTGCATACGTGTTATACCGTCTTTGATCCTTATTATTTTCAGACATTCATGTACACAACAAACCGTCTCTTCTGTTCTCAGTTTCTCGCACCCCTTTCTCTCGTCCTCTCATGAGCACAGAGCATGTTCCTGTCAACAGGGAGCCCTAACACAGTCACATGACATGCATGCCATGCCCTTATTACTCAGTGGTGCCCCTATAAATAGCAGCAAACAACACCATAGGAATGCCTAACCCTACTGGGATGTTCAGTGAGGTACTCTTCTCTGAAATGGACGATCAAGCTTCTGTTTACAATACTGCTGCTCCCTTAGTGTTTCAAAACATTAGCTCAAGTTTAAACATTCTTATAATAATATGCTATCCATAATATAGAAGAGAGAAGGCACTTAAGGGAAAAACATGCAGTGTAGGTACATGTACATGAATCCGGGCTAACTCGGACCAGGGGACAACTCGGCCCAGCTACAAAAACTGTCATTTTTTTTGTCATTTAACCCTAACTCTAACTCTAACCCTAACTCTAACCCTAACCCTAAACCTGACCCTAAACCTAAACATGCAAAAACTGACTGTTTTTGTACCTGGGCCGAGTTGTCCCCTGGTCCGAGTTAGCCCGACTCCATGTACATGTACATGTACGTATGCCGACAGTGGGATTAATACCCATTACCCAGTTAAGATCACACATGTTATTACACTACACTGTATAAATTTACAGTATGTACCGGTATACAAATATGCAGAAACTGCCCCCACCCAAAAAACAAAACAAAAAAGTAAAAATAAATCAAATAAATGAATAAATAATATAAATCCTGAATCCCCTCTCCCACTCATTTTATGTTTAAAAGAAAATAAATGAGATTTCAGATTGGTAAGGTTTAAACAAAGTGGTTTAAACTTTAAACAATTTAAAGAAAGTTAAGAAAATTTGAAGGTTGAGTCGAGATGTCCATGTACATGTACATGTAGTAAACGTTGCTTTAAATATGAAGGTGAATTGATGTGACTTGTACTATGATGTCATTTTGCCTGACCCACAAATTACTTATAAGTCTAGTAACTCACTTTTCTTATTTCTATGACATAAAGTGGCAGTATTATGCTTTTTGTATCACTGCTTGTTTATGTTTGTTTGTTTATGTTATTTTTGTATTGTTGTTTAGTTGAGGACATACATGTACAGTACACATTACATGTACTGTATGCTACAGTGTACCGTAATTAACGGTGTTTTTTTTTTTTTTTTTTTTTTTTGTGTGTACCGTGTATAAACTGCACCCCCGACTTTGAATTTTTTTCGGCAGCAAAAAGGTGCGGTCTTCTTCTTCTTCTTCGATAAGAAGAAGAAGAAGACCGCACCTTTTTGCCGCAGAAAAAAATTCAAAGTCAGGGGTGCAGTTTATACACGGTACACACAACAACAAAAAACAAAAAACAAAAAAAAATCGATTTATGCCCCTCCACCTGGCGCTATAACTGGCAATGTCTCCCAGCTCAGTACTCGGTGTGTTGACTCACCACTTGGAAACTAGAACAACACTCAAATTTGTCTGCCATTTTGGTTTGAAAGTAATCTTTCTGATAGATTTCAATATGTAGTTAATAATAATAATTCCTCCAATTTTTCTTCTATTACACGGCTTACCACAAGGTTCTATCCTAGGTCCTCTACTGTTGTTTAAGTCGGCAAAAAAAAGTCTAAAGGGCGAAAAAGAGGGGTGCGGTTAATACACGAGGGCGGTTTATACAACGTTAATTACGGTACATGTACATGTATCTATGACGCATCTTTATTAATTCCTCCAGAGAAACTCAGGAGAGAAAGGAAATCCATCAATCTTGTCCAAAATTCCAAATATATGTTACAGACGAATGACCAATACGCCAATTTGAAATTCAGATACAGGTATATTTGTTATTATTTGTCAAATTCTGAACAAACTTTCCTCAACCTAATTTGTTTGCTTTTTCCTGCTTTCAGCAAATGGATATGTTACGAATTAAGAAAGCGCTTGAAGTATGTTTTGAATGTGAACAAGCCTAGCTGGTTTCAAATTGTTATTCATGTACACTACTGCCTAAAGGTTTTGGCAGCGGGCTGACCCGATGCCCGAAGCGCGTAGCTGAAGAAACGATGTTCGGGTCGCGCCCGAAATCTGCCCGAAATCAGCCCGAAATCTGCCCGAAATCTGCCCGAACTTGCTCACATTTTTGGCAATTGACACTCAAAAAAAATACGCGTCCCGCGAGTAGCTTGCCCGCGCCCGCAGCCCGCTGCCAAAACCTTTAGGCAGTAGTGTACATGTACAGTACATGTAGGACTATTATTATGCAGGCCAACATTCCCTAGTTTAGAATGGAGCATCTGTATGCAAATGTTTTCAGTTGTTTGTCATCCAAATAATGGAGACAAAGACAGGATGACTATCAATTGGCACTGTACAACTGATCTTGTATTATAAGGTCTCTGAACTCATTGACATGCATGCCATGTTGACAAAGAAAGAACAGTCAGGAACATAAACACACACACATGAACAATACACAAAAGCTTAAATTGGCATTTCTGTGACCAATTGTACACATACAGTACATGTACTGT